TGTTTGTTGTAATTGTTGCTGTTGTTGTACGCTATAATGTGTTTATAAAATAAATATTGTATGAAGCAAGTTGGTGGGCGTCACTGAAGCCAACTAAAATAGATGGCCGGAAGAATAAAAAGTGGCAACAAAAAGATATTAATGGTGGGGGAGTGTATACGTGTGTGTGTGTGTTCACTGCAGGGGTTGCTAGCAGAGAGAATAGAGCACAGAAGTGAAATTGCAGCGACTGCGCAGCTGCTAAAAGTACTCAAGGAGATAATATCAATACAAAATTCACCACCCACCGGTGGCGACGGACACCCAAACAGCAAACAGTAAACAGTAAACAGCAAAGGGACAAAGGCAAGGCATTATACAGTACATATGTATGTATATTGGTAGTGTTTGGGGGTACAATCAAGCCAATCCGAAATGATTCCAGCTAATGCATGACGCTACTGGGGGCTTTATTCTATTACCACTTACAAAGTTAAACCGAACAGTGGCAAAATAAAGGAAAAAAATGGCAAAATAAAATGGAAAATCAGCAATATTAGTTGGCAAGAGTAAGGGTTCAAGGAGGTGGAGGGGCTGAATGAGGAACAAAAGGAGACTGAAACGTATAAGTAAAGCCCATCAGTGAAGGTGGTTGTAGTGGAGCTGAATGCCACTTGATCACACAGTGTAGAGGAACCGAGCAAGCAAGCATTTCATTGTCGTCTACTCAACACACACACATGCTCACAAACTCACTTCACTACGAAATTCCCTACCAACCACCCTACCCCCCCCCCCCCAACCAAGAGGGCACAGCTCAGAGACTGCATACAACTGTGCAAAATGAAAATCTATGGAACCTCAACAGCAGTGGAGCTGCCATTGTCTGCCTGTCTGCAAGCTTGTATGCCTTGCGGCTTGTGGCATTTGCGTTTGTTGTTATGACTATTATGTGGCATGAGTACAGTACAAGTATGAATGACTGCAGAGCGGTAGCGACTCAACGTCGCCATTTCGCCATTGTCTTTTTCGCCAAACATTCGGTCCTTGCGGAGGTAAACTTGACGCTGGCGTCATTTTCCAAATTTCCATTATTTCGTCTAACAAGTCAAGCAGAAATTTTTGCCATAGCATCTAATTTGAATTTTGATTAGAAAACTTACTTACTTAGTTACTTATTTACATACTTACTCACTCACCTACACAGCAGCACCCCAGCACACCAGCACACCAGCACACCGACACACTGCGAGGAGTTGGCGCTGTGTGGCGGCCCCTCCTCGTTATGTGCCTCTCAGCCCAAGCATTTCATCACATGCAATTGTCTCTAACAAATCCCATTAGACTGCCAGGAATCAGCGAAAATCGGAAATAAAACAATTGCGGAAGGAAGCGACGAGTGTGTTTATATAACATAGTTTGTGTGTGTGTGTGGGTGGAGAAGTCTAAATTGGATTGTTTTATTGAAATGAATGGCTGATTGTTTCATTAAACTTTATGTGTTTCTAGAGTTGTGGGATTTGCTGTGTGAGATTTCATGGCGTCTCTTGGCAGCAGCGGCAAATAAAGTTACCTTTGCGCTATTAATATTTTGATAGTTTGATGAGGCAAACGGACTTTTTGCTCGGAAGCAAAATGTAAGAAGAACTGATTATACGAGCTTCTGAAGACATGTGCCTCAGGAATTCAAGCTGAGGATATAAAGAAGAGCATACAAATCTGAGAAAATAACTTATGAGCTTGTGGGGACGACTGGGTCTTGGACTTTTGTCGAAAGCACGGACAAGTAGAGAGCCTTTGACACTCTTTCACCTTGAAAAAGCTTCAAATTATTATATTTAAAGTCTCTTGCAGCTGTCGCTCGGCTCTAGAACAGTTGTTCTTTTTGTGGTCTAACAGCTTTCGCTCAAAAATGATTCCTAGTTAGCTAATGAGAACCCGATTACTTCGTTGTTTGTAGACACTGCGAACCACCACTTAAATCATTCTTGAACTGATGAATAGCCCTTCATCTCTTCAAAGGCATCTCATGGCTTGACATGGATAGTTGTATGAAAGGAGATAAGCTAGTTTTCTTAGGTCATCCAACTGTCCATTCTTCGACCTCTTAGTTTTAACCCAGATACGAAAAACCGAGGTTAAAAGGAGTAGTCTCTTCCATACTATGGAATCTTACGGTTACTTAGTTTCAAACAGTTAGAGAGTTTAAAAGGTAAATCCGTTGCAGGCGTCAATGATATTGCCCTAGCTTAGAGCAGCAAGTCTCCAGACACCCTGGAACATTTAATGCATGTAATTCTTCGTAAAGTGTGGAACCCATCAATTTGGACTCTGTGAGCTTCACAACGCAATACAAGATGCCGACAATAAACCTTACAACTCTTGAAGTTGTTAACCTAACGCCGTGAATGGAAGCAAAATCACGGGGAAAAGTTCAAGATAGCGCCAAACGCAATCTTAAATAAAATCTTCAACATCTTAATCGCTGAATTTCTCCGGCCTTCTACTATGACAGCTATATATAAGGCTGGCTTAAAGCTCGATGGTAAAGCTGATATTGCAATGTTTTTCAAGCAGAAATGTCAACTGTTGCAGAGACACTAAATCACATTGGAGCCGAGTTCACGGTCAAGAAATTTTATTTTTGTTTTCCACGAAAGTCAGCGATCAAGACAGTTGGGTCGCCGACCTCTTCAAGGGCTTAAAATCAGTACGGACTATCTTTTCCGTGGGTTGGTGGACAAGAGCGTGGCGGGAGACCGTAAAGTAGAGTAGCACGAAAGACATAACTAAGCATATTCCTTCCGATAAGGAACCTTGTAACTTGCAGCGAAATCTAGGCAAACTTGCTGGTCAAGAAAAATGTACTTTCTGAAAGTATAAAACATCTCAAAGATAGTAGGAGCCCTGACAGAAGCAGTGAGAAAGCAGAGTGGTCTGCTATACCCGCTTCTGTTTAATTTTTAATATTTCGAAGCGCACTTCAAAATAACTACACGATATTGACGACTGGTCAGGATATTGATAAGTAATGTTCGAAAGCGTACAACAATAACAGCTGCGAAATCCTCGAGTGCCCTTTTCCCCCGCTGGACGAAGTAGTACCTGCTCGGACTTGTTGCCGTAACTTACTAGGTGTCAGATTCACTCATCGGCATTCCCCTACCCGAGAATACGACTGCAAATTTCCACTCAAGTACAGAGTCGCCAAAAGTTTCACAAATTAGTTAGCCCGCAGCGCCAGGAGATAAGGCAAAGAGATGTTGATGGCAACCACAAAGTACCACCGGTCGTTAATTACACTGCTCCGATTCGAACCCCAGAGACTAGCGAATCGCAGGTGAAGAAGCTATAAGTACATTAGAACAACGCCCTTGGGACTGTGTCACCGCAGCATCTGATGTCTGCTGAAAAGGTACAGTCACAAGCACCCTCAGCAGGCATTTTATCTCCTCCGAGGCACATTAGGAAGGGAATACAAGGCTTTACCAACGCTGTTTAGCACCATTGACAAGATAAACTGGACAGGACGGCATACCGATAGTCTTTAAAGGCCATCAGCGAGAGTTCATCAACACCTATATGAACTCTTTTCCTGTGAATGCCGTTGTCTGTCTCCAAGCACCACCTGTTAAAGACGAGAGAGACCCAAATAATACCAGTAGTCGACTTAATTCCTACTTTTTCCTGATTTGAAGACCGATAACCTCAACATTTGTCCTGCATGATATGAGATCCCACATGAAACTAACCATCTCTTTGCCCCAAAGACTAACTATCCTAATCAACCTTTCCTTCTTGAACGAGACCCGCTTCAACAAGAATATCTTCCACCCTTTATAGGACTTCCCTACCTGGAGCAAAGCTAGTCTTCGTTATCTGAGAGCCACCACCTTTCACAATTTGCTTTCGGAAAATAACCTTACAAATTTTTTATGAGGATTCAAAGAAAATGTAGAGCGAACGAAATGATTGTGAAAAAATTATGGTATTTCTGGCCTAAAAGTATTTATAGTCTCCAACGATAGTCGCATTTACCGAAACTCGGACTGAGATAACGGCGCCCGTAGTTATTTTCTCTGGGATGTAGAAGACGGATTAGTTCTCTTTCTCTGCTCTGCATCTAGTGAGAACTTTCGTCTTTTGCAGAAAACCAGTTGAAAATAATTTGTTTAAAAGAATCCAGTGCTTTATTATTTCTAATTTGTAAAAAAAAAATATATATTTTATCCAATTTTTCTTACCAACAAACTGAAAATGAAATTTCATTTACTCACCACGACACCCAACCGGCTGAGGAGGCATTAGCTAAACAATGGAAATGATGGGCTAAATTAATGGAATTGTCTAGTTGCATGTAAATACACATTACAAACATTACCGGCAGCAAGAAAATGTCTCCACACAACTCTCCAAACAATCCCAGCACATTTCCAATTTAGCCAAGCTCCAACGCATATCCTTTATATGGCAGACTCTCTTGTGTTTTTTTTTGCTTTTGTTTTTGTTTTCATTGTTAATATTAATTTATTTTTGATTGCAACAATGGCGTAAACACGAAGAAGAAGAAAAATAAGAAGAATAGAAGTGGGGAAATGTAAGGCGAATTCTTCCGCAGAGTTGAGCTAACGAGCCTGCAGGATGTGTGTGCATGTGGGCATATAATAAATAAATTGATAAAGTTTCTGAGGTGGAAAATTGGGTTTATTGTTTGCATGATATGCAGTTAAGTTTGTTTATACATATATGTGTAACAGTGTGTGTGTGTGTTCCTTTATTCTGTATTCCATCGAGCAGAAAACTTTTCCAATTTCAATTTTCGCCAGCAAAGCCCGTTGGCTCTAACCGACCAACCAAACGAGTTGATACAGAGTTGTATTACCGATATAAAATTATTATAAATTGTCTTTTGGACATCCCTTTTTACCATTCGTACATACAAACATACATACGCAGTGCAGTGCAGTACAGTGCAGACAAGTGGAATTTACGCCATTTTTCCATTTTTGGACTTTTTTCAGGTTTGGTTTCAGAATCGACGCGCAAAATGGCGTAAGGCCGAACGCCTTAAGGATGAGCAACGCAAGCGTGAAAATGGCGAGAACAGCGGTTCGCTGGACAAGGTAAGTGCAGAAGTTGTTATACAAAAATACAAAAACTTTTTTTTTAACAAAACCCCTTTATTTTCCTCTCTCGCCCAGCAGCTCCACGACAGTCGGGAGTCATCGCCCGATATAACTGGCGAAATTGATGATGATGAACCCTCACTACGTCGTTCCCATAGTCCCGGTCCGCACTCGACTAGTCCGCATGGCTTGGATTCGGATAATGAGCGTCCGCTCTCTTCCACACATCTAACAACACAATCAGCTTCACAATCGGTCGGTTCGATAAGCGCCGGTTCACCTTCGCCTAGTGCTCGCGCCACGCCACAACATTGTCCGAATAGTCCGACTTCGAATTCACGTCACACCGACTCACCAATCGAGGTGGGTGGTCCGATTTCTTTGACTTCACGCTCAGCTTCCGGCACTACGCCTACTTCGTCGCTACACAGCACACCCACGACTTTTGGCAGTCATATTTTTGGAACTTTCGGCGGTGATAGGTGAGTAAAAAAAATATTTGGAAACAACTTTTATTTGGGAGAGTACTTGAGGTTAACAGAGTTATGGAATTTTAAAATGTTTTGTGATATAATTGGCTTTTGTTAGAAGATCGAGAGAGTTCTTGTGGATGCGAAGGAGCTTGTCAGTCTTTCAGATTTTTTTACCTTAAGAAGCTGTCGTAACAATCGATTTCATAAGTAGTAAAGCTCTTTGTTGACAGCAAAAGTACGAGGAACTCGCATGTCGTTAACTGGGTTCCACCGGAGAACAATTTTAGGGAGCATTATCCTTTTGGTCAGTCTCTTGGTCTCTACCTGTAGAAAATGGAGGAGCTTTGAGCACTTCTTGAAGTTGTACCTGATAGTTTCTTCATTAGAGCTGCACAAAGCTTGGTAATTAACCTCAAAAACTTAAAAGACTGCTAAATATTTGCACATCGATTCCAAACTTGGGAAATTAACAACGTTAAACTCATCAAAACACGTTCCTGATACCGTAATTAGTAAATTAGTGAATTAACTCGCTACCTGAATGAGCGTCCACGCACTTTCCTTTATTGAGCACATAATTTTGTCTAAACAATAAGTTTCGCTCACACGTCTGCTACTGCGTTCAGTGCAGTGCGGATGAAGTCTGAAGTAACAAAAGTTCATTTTATTGATATTTTTATCTTTACAATAACAACGAAGGCGGTAAATATCGTTTAAATGCGTGTCACGTGCACGCAATTCCAAGTCATTAACGACTAATGTGGAATCACCGAACGTTCCACACAACACTCCAACCCACGATGGGCTGGCGAACAGACAAAAGTTTGCGCTTAATGTTTCCGCAGAGCATGCTGTTTCCGGTACAACGGTGCAGTGAGCGAGGTTGATCTAAGCATTGTTGATACTTAGAGTTTGTAAAGTGTAGACGTGAACCAGCAGGGTGTCCGTTGAGCGGATAAAGTCGGACGGAGGCCATGAGAGGCGATTCGTTCTTCAAGGAGTTCAACAGGAAATCATGCATTGGTAAATGATGAAAATTCTTTAGTAACGGTGGTAAACGTTCCGAAACACATTTCCGCTGTAAGGATTAGCAGTCGTGTAGCAGGGTCCTGGCTAAGGCAAAACCTTTTTTTACATTATTAAAATTTTTTTTATTTTTTTTTTGGTTTATTCTATATTATTTAATTCTTCTCCGTTTTTTTAATTTTATTTTATTTGATATAATTTTCTTTATTTACTATAATTTATCTCATTAAATTTAATTTTATTTTACTTTACTTGATTCTAGTTCATCTTATTTCACTGTATTTTATTCCACATTGTTTTATTTTTTTCCATATTATTTTATTTTATCTTGTTTAACTTTATTTAAATTGTTTTATGTTATTTTATTTTATTATTGTATATTTTATATTATTTAATTTTATTCCATTTTCTTTTATTTTAATTAATTTAGTTTTATTTTTTACGCTATTTCGTTTTATTATAATTTAATTTATATTGATTTGTTTAGTTTTATTATGTTTTTTTAATATACTATTTATTTAAGTTTTTTATTTGTTATTCTACAATATTCTATTATAATTAATTTAGTTTTCCTTATTTGATTTTATTCTAATTTATTTTCTTTATTTCATTCTATTTTAGTTTATTTAATTTTTTCATTTAATTATATTTGTTATTGTAAATCAATTTATTTTGGTTCATTTAATTTGGTTCAGTATTGTTTTTATTTTTTTTTTTATAACAGTTTACTTTATTATATTACACTAAACTTTTTTTTTAATAACTTTTTTTTTATTATTTTGTTGTAATTTATTTATTTATTTTATTTTTTTTCCGTTCGTTTTATTTTTTTTGTTTTTTTTTTTTTTTTGTTTTTTTTTTTTTTATTTATTTTTTTTTTTTTTTTTTGCTTTATATGTTTTTATTATAATTTACTATGATTTTTTTATTTAATTTTATTTTGTTCGTGCTCATACTATTGTAGCGTACTTTATTTAATTTATTTTATTTTATATTATTTCATTTTATTTTATTTGGTTAATTTTATTTTATTTCTTTATTTAACTAAAACATTTTTTTTTTGTTTATTTTTATTTAATTTTTTAATTTATTTTTTTGTGTTTTATTTTTTTTTTATATACAGTTTTATAGTATTTTATTTTACTTCAATAATTTCTTAAATATTATTTTATTTTACTTTTTATTTTATTTCGTTCTTTCTTATACTAATTTACCGTATTTTATGTAATTTAATTTATTTTCTTTTAATTTTGTTCAATTTATTTTATTTTATTTTATTTTATTTTATTTTATTTTATTTTATTTTATTTTATTTTATTTTATTTTATTTTATTTTATTTTATTTTATTTTGTATTATTTTATTTTATTTTATTTTTTTCTACTTCTTCATCGCTTAGATTGAGTGGCACTTCATTTATATTTATTTTGTTCTCATTTCGCTCACATCCTCCATATTCAATTACTAATTTAAATCTTTGCCATATAACAATTATGATCCCACAAAGCAACCCGCCTGCTGGTGTCAGCCTCCTCTGCAGTGGTGGCGTGCTGCTTTCGAGCTATTTACGCGTGTTTACGTATAGCTTACATATATAATTATTATTGCTTTTTATTTAGTATGTTTACATTACCAGTATCCGAGGGGTGACATTTATTGTCACAGATTTGTTAATTCTGCTATGGCAATGAGCCGATGTTTGCCCTCGAAAGGAGGGTTGTTTTCCTCAACACGCTTCGTGGTGCTTGCTTGCTACTGTTTTCGCTGTGTTTTGTTTGCCTCCTCCTGTTTACTTCCTACAACTTTAACTTCACTTTGTGCATTGTGCCAACACCAACTCGTCATCCCTCCTCCTCACTGCCCGCTCTTGCTCTTCAAATGCTTCCTGGTACTTGTTTTATGTTTGGAAATTTTTTTCTGTCACATTTTGTGCTTTATAGTTGGTGTTGTTGTTGGTATGTATTTCATTAAGTTGTCGGTACGAAATGCGACACTTGCTTGCAATAAAATTGTTTGTTTGTTTGGTCGTTTGTGTCTTTGTTTGTTTGTTTGTCTGTTTGCTTAATTTTAAGTGGCTTAATGACACGGACGCAATTAGCAAATCGTTAGAACTCACATACATACATACATACATACATGTATGTGTAAGCATGTGAATATGCAACTTAGTAGGCTATTTAATCGTTATTTCTGTTGTTGTTGCTTTTGCTAATTTCGTTGGGGGTAGTTATTTAGAAATTCATGACAATTAAAATGTCTGGAATGAGATTTGCGTTGCACTGATGACGTTAACGACGACAACAACAACAACAACAATGTGTGACAAGAAAAACAATGAAAGCGAAACAAACAAACAGGAAAATCAACAATGACAACAAACTTAAGGAAGTGTAATATATTTTGCTAAGCAAACCGGCAGCGGGTGTTGTTGTCCTCAACATTTATGTGAAAAGAGAAGAGTAAGAAAGCAAAGTCTTCACAGACAAAACCTGTCAGCTTTGATTTAATGGAGCGTTCTTCCGAAAATAGCTCCATGTTGACGTTCAAATGTGATTAATTTATGGTTTTTACTTTAGGACAAATTTTCTTTTAATAGGTGAATAAGTCAGGCTGGGTTGGTCGGCAATTGAAGGCTTGCGTTGTTGAGGGGGGGGGGGGCTGAGAGAAGGAACGAGGCGTTTTTGTGCTGAGTTCCTTATAAATCGGTAGGAGTTTCTTCTTTGGAGTGTTAAAGACAGCTGTCCGCTTTTTAAAGAAAATCATCAGGTTTTCACATGAGGTCACTACTTTCTGCTTAAACTTAGATCCGAGTTCAATTAGTCGACGTTCTCTAGAGGAACGGGTTAAAGGTTCGTACTTTTTGCCTACTGTTAGTGTAACTTCCTTAATTTTAGTCTCGGAGAACTTTTTCCATTGTTGAGTCTGACAGAAAGCTCTGATACTTTGTTTTGAGCTGTTATGAGATCCCCTAGTTCAATAACAGTCGTTCGTCACATTGGTTAGATAGTGCCAAGCTCTTAAGACTGATCTTTCGATGGACATTGTGCTGTGAAGCTAAAAATGAAAGAAGAAGCAAAGGAGCCATTTCAAGAGGGAGCTAAGTAACAGATGTGAATTCTCTATGTTTGAAATCAACACTAGCTAAAAAAAAATACTACCCGCGGCAAGGCATACCTGTCGTAAGAGGCGACTAAAATCCAATAGTTCCCACGACAGTCGGGTCTTTATACCCGAACAACGCGGATTTTTGTCTGACCAAATACTGTCAGTCCCCAACATTCCTCAAAAGGCACCTTGGAAAATTTTTTTGCGGTTACAACAACAACTACAAACGATGGTTGAATACTTGTACATGGGGGTTGAGGGAAATCTCTGCCATAGATTTACACCTGGAATTTCGTCAGAGAATTTCACTTTCTTAAATTGGCAACCATCTTTTTTGTAGGCGGTTTTATAATTGGCCACAGCTCGAGTTAACAATGTCGGTGTCTTCTCTACGCGATTCGGTACCAGTTTTATACACCAAGTAACCCCTGATCCTTATTAACCTGTTATTTCCAACTGAATTCTGTGCATCCATAAGTCGTGAATGAAACCATTTCCTTGAATGCTCTTAAAGACGAATAATCAGAAGTAGAATGGGAGTGATGAGTGACTTATAGAGCGTAGCTTTTGTTCATCACAGACCAGATCGATTCCAGGTCGGGTCGACCAGATCTATTTGGTCCGCTTTCTTATTGGATCTGGTCTAGCTCCTGGCTATGCAGTTACAGTTGCACAATTTTACTAAATTCCTACTAAATGTTAAACCCTCTTCTTCTGTAAACTTGAGCAACACTAGTGGGAGATGTGGTAACCAATATATACGTGCGATTTACGGCAGCAACCAGGGGTATTGGGGCATCTCGCTCCCAATATAAATGTGCTCCGCAGTTGTGTTCGAGGCGGGCACCAATAAAACTAGTCCATTTAAACCCCAACTCC